GATGTGAGAAAGCTGCTTTACTCCAAACAAGTCCAGCTCCCCTTGTTTCCAATACAAATTATAAAACCAGCTTAAAATGGCAAGTTTTGGGAAGGACTGCTAACTTTCTCAGGTGTTACCCACTGCTCATGCTCCCCAGCTCTGTTCACAGAATTCTAAGACGGGCAGACACACTCACTGCTTTTTGGCACACGTGCATGCTTTTCCTTAACAACAAGATAGAATGCCACCCTGTAGTGACCCAGATGCAGTACGTGCTGAAGTTCAGCCACAGGCTTGCACTGCAACCAAACTGCTACAATCTTAGTCGTGTGCCACGCTTGGTATTACTACTTAACTAGAATTGACCATTCTTTTATTCCAAATAAATCAAAGCTGTTCTGTCTGCAGGAGGGATGACTTCTCTTAATATCCTGACCTGCCAATGAAAACTTAAGTAATCAACGTAGCAGTCACTTCCACATTCAGGAGACAATGATATAAACATCGGATTGTGACACCACTGAGTAATCTGCCGGTCACAATCTAGACTCTGTAACACCAGGCGTATTTCTGTGATGTCACTAACTGGGTTGCCTCATTGCTAAACAAAACCAGGCAAGAAGCACAAAGCCAAGCAGAGCTTTGGCTCTGGCATCAAGCCATGCCAGCCTGATGTGGCAGCATGCTGGCAGCACTTCCCTTGCCCTGCACTGGCTGGTGTTGGTTCCAATGTCTTCTGTGGCTCAGCCCTTTCACCTCACCCTCACTGCTCTCCTCCATCTCTCATGTCCTTCCCTCTACCTTGCCCTCTGCCTCGGTCCTGCCTTCAGCATTCTCCTTCCCTTCTTCCTGTGTTCATTTCCTTTTAGATGAATCCCACTCGAGACACGTAAGGAACACCACCAAACTCGGGCACCATTTCCAGCCATCTGTCCGAGCACTGACTCAACGTGCTTGCACCTCTTCCTAGTCTGTCTTTTGACATCGCTATCTGGAGAAACTGGGAATTATCCTGGACGAGGATTAGCCACTGTTATGACTTACCTAACAAATAATGTTTTAAAATCTCATACCTGATAATTATCATCTACGTGCACTGGCCATTCACACCTGTGTAATAAACAAGCAAGTTGCATCAAGTTTGTAACAGTACAACCAATTTCACAGCAGGGAGTCAAAACAAGATACTTTCTACTTAATCTGAACCCCTAAAATGCGGGGGCCAGGCTGCAGAGAGCAGTGAATCTCTTATGTTTCCCTCCATTACACAGCACACTCAGGCAAGCTTTTCTGCAGCAGGGCTGTGGCCGCTGACTATAGAGCTGGAAAAGTAAGCCTGAAGTTGACCACTGACCCTGAGAATTAGCCTGGGGGCATCAAAGGACTGCAAAGGGGAGAGAAAACCCCAGGCAGAGGTTCATGAACTCACTAGGCAGTGAGGTGAAAGCAGGCACGAGGGAAAGAAATAGACAAGTGGCAATGGAAATGTGAGAAAGAGATAGAAAAAGCTGGGGAGAAAAGGAACAAAGAAAGAAATGAAAGCATAATATGTGAAATACAGAACAGGAAAAGAAACAGTTTGCTTTTCTAATAATATCCTTATATGCAACCTTGCAGGCACTCTGAAGATTCCCCTTTTCATTCTGTGTTTAGCCCTGAAGATAATGTATGAACTGTTGAGCGCATACAGACTATTAGGGGCAGGAGATGCAACTCCCGTTCTTTTAAAACTACTGGATGTACAGGTGCAGGAGAAAGTCAAACATCTGGACTAGATGATCTTTTGAGGTCTCTTCCAACCCCTAGGATTTTGTGATCTGTCCTTCATGTCTGGAAAATGGCAAAAATTTTAAAAAGGCTTGCCTGAGACTTAAGTTGATTTGAGACTGCAGATTCACAGAGGCAGAGAAAAACTAGTAAGGTAAAATTCCAGTTCTGCTGAAGGCTGTACTTTTCAAAAGAAAATGAAGAATCTCTCGTATTTCTTCACTGAAACAACAGAAAGGTTGCATTATTTAGGAAGATTCACAGACCAAGATAACTTCTGCACTGTTAAAGAAAGAAAAAAACAGTGCATTAAAATACAACACACAAACTAGGAAGAAGTGTAAATTCACTTTAGAAGGTACATCAAGGTCTCAGAATAACAGATAAGCTATTATCTAAATTAATAATTATTTAAGTATTCTGTCTTTTCAATATATCATGTGTTAAAAGTTTAATCTAAAATAAACCAAAACACTTGCTTCATCTATATTTAAGAACTCTTATTCAACTTTTAGAGTAAGAAGAGAAAGCAAATGAGTCTCTTTCTTTAAGATTTCCATGGAAAGAAGTACAAAAAAGTAGGTCTCAGAAAGCTGAGCTTTCCCTGGACATTTTCAGCAAATAGTTACAGAAAGGAGCTGTAACTTAAAAGTAGATAGAAGAGGTGGTTGCAACTGCTGGGTTGTAGCAGACACCCTTCCCCTTCAGCTACCCACCAGCTGCTAGCTGTTCAATCAGCAAGGCTCCTCCTCCCTGGTATATTAACTGGACTCAAAGTAGTTGTCCCAAGAGAACTCAACTGCACTTCACTGAAGATAAGGCACTCTTGTGGCTTGTCAGCTTCTTAAACATCATTACTCCAACAGAAGTGTTGATTGATTAAACTGAGTAGAAGTAACATTAAGTATTTTAGGGGCACACCCTTTACTTTTAAATCTGACTCTTAACCTATGTGTCCAGAAGGCACATGGCTCTTGATGATTAACTGCAAGCTTTATTCCAGTTTATTAAAGTACAGCTTTAATTTGTTCTAACATCTAAGGCAGCTTTGTTACATTTGTAACAATGTAACAATGAGCACAGTATTTTTAATTTATGAAGCTCAGATTTTACTACTGCAGTAGTTTTAAAAGAAAGGTGTACCTATAATTAAGTGCGTAAGTCTTTCAAATAAAGACTTCTGGATTAAATTAATCCTTGATGTATAATAAGATGTCTTTTAGATAGTTAATTCAAAACTTTAACAGATATTATAGTAAAAAGAATGAGCTACTTTCAGGTGCTTGAGCAAGCACTGTTAAAAACACTGACACTGTGTATTATACCTCTGTAGATTTTTAATGATCCAAATACTCATCTAAAACAAGAACAAGGAATAATTTTACCAAATATTTAGAAACTTTAGCAATCCACTCAGGTGAGGTCAGACAAAACAGATAATAACTAATTTTAAAAAACAAACACCAGGCACAAGGTGAGATTCAAACTGGAGTATTCGGAATCCATTAATGTAAACATCAGTTCAAGACACATCTTGTCAGAAGTCTGACGTATCCAGCACAACGTGGCAGTAGATTTAGACATACTAAATTGTACTCACTTATGAAATCTCTAACACATACAACAAGTAACAACTCTGTCTGCTCTTTCCTCTTCCCCTAATAAGCACAGTTTAGCTCTCTGTGGATAAAGCTATGCCTTCCCACTTGCATGCTACAGTCACTTTATAGGACCATTGCTCTAAATCCCTGTTCTACACTAACTACTTGAAATACCAGCAAGAGTAGAATCTTTCACCCAAACTGTGTTTTTCCTTCCACCTTAAGTCAGGGCACCATGCTTAATTGCCTCCTGCCTCTGCTGAGCCAATGAAGCCTCATGGTTTGCCAGTATTTCCAAGCAGCTATTACAACTTACCCTTAATAGTCCTGTCTGCTCTACCTGTGCTTGAATTACTTTACCCCAGACAGGTAGGGTAGCACATTTCCTCCCTCTCCTGTCTTCTGCCCGTTCTCAGTTTTTAGACAACAGCTTCATGGATTGAACTACAACAGATTTTAAACCCTTCCATCATACTCAGAGTCTACTCACTGAACTGTTTACCTTCCCAAATTACATGTCACTGAAGCCCTTGGTCAGCAAGGAAGCTATTACTGTTTTTTAAAGCCTGCAGATTCCGTATTTCTTGTCTTAGCCTTGTCATAATACTTAGAAAGAGCAAATAGATCTGGCAAATTCTGTACTCCATACTGATGGTTGGGAGTTGCTCAATTTATTTCATTCAACTGAAAGCTGCTTTATTCATCTGGGTATCTACTCAACATCCCTGTTCAACATATGTATGTTATGGTGTCTTTAATGTAGCAGCAGCACCCAACTTAATTTACCTGTTGTCTCGGACAGTTTAAAAACATAAATAAGACTGAGCATGAGAAACTGGTAGAATGGCTGAGGTGCAAGCTGCTGAAAATGCTGGATTATCAAGCAGTCAGAGGAAACCGAAATGACAGTAGCTTTGCAAAAGAAGAATAATGGGAGGACCTAGCAGTTACCTTTGCATAAGAGAAAGGATTGGTAGTTCCATGTATAAAAATAACTGCAAAATCTGTGAAGCCTCGAGTGGAATATGGACCTGAAAGGTGTTAACTTGAAAGGGAGGCTCAGGCATAACAACAGACTGGCAGATACACAGCATGCAAAAAAATGCAGAAAATGGTGCCAGAGTTGCTTCAGAACAGCCTGTTTAGAAACAATGACTGAAAAATCCACTACAATGAAAACATCAACCAAGTGCTCCTTTTATTTGTTAACACACTGTTTCAAAACAAAGTAAACATTACTTACTAGAAGAAGATTTTCAGTCATACAAGAGTAGGTAAAAAAAGAGCATTTTTAATTGAACAATCTCACAATGTAATTAGATGCTAATGTGCTGCCCGGTACACTCAAGGTATGTACAATTATGCCCCCAAAATGGTAATTTCATAGCTTCTTGTTGGCTCTGAAGTCAAGGAAGGAAATAAATTGTGATCAGCAGTTTCCTTGGTAACTTTCCCAGCTGGAAACCAGTGGCTTAAATTATAGATAAAATGACACTACAACTAAAGTACAGTAGTACATCTCAGCACTACCATCTTAACAGAAAGCTTCCATGCAGGCAAAAGGATTAGTGTAAGTTTAGATGTAATACCACAATATGGGATCAAATCAATTTATTTATATGGTTTTAATACTATTATTTTCAGGGCTTTTTACTTCCTTAGGACTGCGTTGTATTTTGGCTTTTTAGAGAGTTTTTTATTAAAAAGTTTGTGTTCTATCATACACACCTCGTCATGGATATAAGAGGGCTGTATCCTCAGAAGAAAAGAGAACAATCTTAGTACAAAATGATAACTCTGTGGAAAGTCCACTTCTCTGTAATGAGCCAGATGACCACACAATCTGGAAAGAAAAGGGGGGGGGAGGGGTGGAAAAGCCCTAAATTACAAGTGCATTTAGTTACTATTTAGCTAGCATGTTTATATTCCATTATAATTAGAGGAAAACTCTACATTTTCCCAACAGCATAAATCACAATTCTGGTCTGCAACGTAAATACTGTGAAGGCATCCACTCCTGTCAAACCTTGAAGTAGATTGCAGAATAGCACAGTAAATGGTAAGTTCAGCAATTTAGGGTGGAAAAAATACCCTGTCCTTGGTTAGTCCCAAATTTATTCTTATTAAAAATGGTAAGTTTAAAGCAGTATAAAATCTAGCTGTCTCAATTTTCAGAACATCTTTTACATTCCTATGGGGATTTAGGTGCTCTTCACTGTATAAGCCCTATGCATCTTCTAGCTTTCTAGATATTGCCCTCGGATGTGGAGCAGCAGAGTTTAAAATTTCCCCTCTGTCTGATTCAGAGCAGCAGTCTTAAATATTCACCAGAACAAGGACTGGAACCTGTCTGTCCCAATTTACAGGCAGGTGTGCTAATTACTAGACTATAGAGTCATTTGCTCTCTCCCTCTGGCCCAACAGACATTTACATTTTACCTCAAACTGGAGGAACAGACGGACTCATCCCAGAGTGCCACACAAGGTGCACTCTGGGGAGCAAAATTATTGTTTTAAGCCTCCCAAGGTCTGGCAGAGTGGTAATCTGAAACTAGGTCTCTCATGCTGGAGGTCCCATCTTTTGCCCTACCTGATGTTGCCCAAAAGCTGCCAGTGACTTCTTCAGAAACCTGATTTAATCAGACATTTCAGCAGCATCGTAACAAATGAATTGACCCCACAACCCAATGTGTTTGCTAAATCCAAGCTTTACTGAGAAATGTTGGTTGAACCAAAATCTGCATTTTTGGGCCAATACAAATGAAGACATGTTGCTATGTCCTAGTCTTAGTCCTGAGATTCAGCAGTTATGGCTCTTATAGCAACTTAGGTGTCAAAGCTCAGTTTTCACTGAGGGGAAGGCAGGGGAGTGATATTGTATATTCTGAGGCAAATGCACGTTACTTCAATATTGTAAAGCACCTATTTGATTAACAGGAGCTACACTTTTGAAAGGAGTACCTAAATGCACAGATATTTTTGCCTCATTTTGTGCTATTTACCCTAAGAACATCTCTGAAGAGCTAAAAAAATTCCAAAGTGGTTATAAATTTAGATGTAATAAGAAAATCTATTTTTCTCAACATTTTTCACATATTGTAATACATCATCATGTGTCACCTAAAGACTTCTATGCCAAAGAAATTTTCTAAATTAATTTTGAAATTGGAAGTTTGAAAATGTAAAAGCATTTTGCCAAGCCAGCTTTCTCCCCAGACTTAAATCACACCTTAGTCCTAGCATTAAAGCATTTCAGCAGTCCCAGATAGATCACACTGAATTTTAGAGAATTTGTAGGTTTGTTTTGAGATCTATTATACCTACACACACTTGCATAGAACAAAACCTCATATCTGAGGGAGTAGATGATGTTTTCCAAAGTTAAGTAAGTGTCAGATGTATAATTAACTACTTGCATTGCAAATGATATAATGGGAAATTTAACCGGTAAGAATTTAAATTCAAATCTTGTTCCATGAAGGCTATGACAGTTTGCCATTAACATTTTAATATATTACATATGAAAATGTAGGCTTAAAAACAGACTTTGCATGAAAGATTATTCACACAAACATACACTGAAATCTCCACTCATTCAGTGTGTACATAAGATTTACGCAAATTTGTGGTGAAGGGATTATTACCTCTCCTCCCTTCCAAAAAGAAAAAAAAGCTCCTTATTCATACAAAAGAATGAATCCATGCAACCAAAGCTCTTGTAATATAACACTGTGTTTACATTATTCCAATCCATTTCTGTCACGGAGGATATGTGAAAGGTAATGTGAAAAAGAAAATAAAGATAAGCAAACAAATCTATTGAAAGACAGTTATTTTCAAGAGGAATGTTTTATGTTTTAAAAATCAGGAACGTATCACTAAGATTTTGTAGGGGCTGTTGCTCTCTTAAGCATGACGTTTAGAAGCACACGCCAGACAAAGATTGAAGATGTTATTCAATGGACTAATGAAATCTCATTTCACATTAGTGCACCCCAACCTCTTTTCCAAAAAACATCCTCCAATTGCACACATGAGAAATTCAGGAGAATCCAATCCATCTCCAAAGTCCATCTTTTTCACTGATACCCATCAGTACATTCATTTTCTGAATTAGGATTTCAAGATACAAACAATGGCAGAACCAAAATCTAGTGTATGATTAAGAAGCCTTATCTACACCTTCAAGGGAGTTTGTGAGAAACACTATTTTAGATATTTCCAGTTCCTTGGAGTAAATGCTGCTGAACTCCTACACTCCCTCATCTTAGCAGGGGTTTTGCCTTCTGTCTCTGGGCATTATTCTCTGCCAGCACCCACCAAATAGAAAACTCACCAATTTTTGCAGAATTTTATGCAAGGAGAGAAGATACTAGAGGAAGAGTGAAGAGTTCAACCCAAACCAGGCAGATACTGAAATATCTCTACAACTTTGTACAAGGCTGGGTTAGCTGGGCTATCATTCTCTTTGCTACCTAGGTCCTTTAAAGAAAACTATTTTACTAACAAATAGTATGACTGTTTTGATATGCTGTTAATTGGGAAAAAAAAAATAATCCCTTTCACTTGTGAAGTCACAATTTGGGCAGAGTTCTCTGGTGGAGAAACTAAACTTCCTTAATAGTATAAACCATGGTCTTGTTTTGCTTTTCCAGTAGAAGCAATGTCTTCCTTTTTTCTGTTTGCAAAAAAATACAACTTTGGGTTGCTGCTATACTTAGATGAAAAAGTGATAGAGTCCTATTCACTCATAATTATTCTTTTAAAAATAGGTTCTGGAGGTATTAATTGTTGGCTTATGTGAACTCTGCTGATTTTAACTTTGATTAAGGCCAACACAAAAGAAGGACAGTAATAAAAAAATAATAATGTCCTTTGCTTTTCTGGAGTCCAGAGGAAAGAGGAATGGAACTGTTTTCCCATACTCTGGAGAGCTGTGGTGCAAGTTTTTCTCTGAAATACTATGAAGACGGAAGTGAATATTTGTATCTAGCTGCTACTCTTGCCAGGTGACTCTAGTTGTTGATTTTGTCTCATCTCTTCTCTTCTCAAAAGCTCACTTTGATCACTCTTCAAATTACATTTTGTCTACTCCCAACCCAAGACTATTTCACACACACCCCTTTCTAGAACCGATTTTAACTATATGTGAATACACAGCTGTGTACACACCCCACAGTTGTAATTTGTAAAAATATCTATATGGCACTTCACTTTTAGGGGAACTTCTCAAAATTTTACAAAAATTTGAATACTTACTTCTCTGTACATAGTTTAACTGTGCACAGCCAATAGTCAGGATTCATAGCTGTAAGTAAACCACATTTTTCTTGCAAAATTCCCTTCAGGCTATGCCCGTGAAAACAACTCCCATCTGTGTTTTCTTCAGACCAGGTTAACTGAAAACTTGAAGGACGTGGCTTTTCAGCAGGTTGCACTGAACCAGACAGCTTGCCAAACTGATTTTGTAAATTCACAACGATTTCTGTGCAAATAGAAAAAAAAACACCAATGCAAATTATTAAGTACTAAAACTGTTTCAGGTGATGAACACAGGAAATAAACGGTATTTGTGCCTTAAAAAAAAATAAAATATTATTAATTTATTTAAATCTTTGTATGGAATACTGAGCAACCTTGAAAGTCTGTATATTCTCTCCTGCATTCCATCTAAAATTCAACTCTGTCATATGTTTTAGGGGAAAACTTTGAAAGAAAATTCAAAATTATATGTCCTTCATACCTGGTTATATTAATACTGAGGTACTCCAAAATCATTCTCCAAGTAAAACCTGTAAAATCCATTTGATACTGGTGGTATTTTTGTTCTGACAGAGAACACATGCCAGCATGCCTTTCACTATGTTTACCTGGTTGTAAGCTATCACTCAGACTGGTTAAGATTTTTTAAGTCATTTCCTGTGTATCAGAATTAACGAAGTCTGGTTTCTCCCACATAGGGATTTAAGGTTAAGTTTTTCACAGTGCATATTTCAACTGGGGAAAAAAAACCCTAAAAAACCAACAAAACCCCCACTTTTCCCCACTGCTAGTGAAAGACCTTTCATAAGTTACTGAGGCTGAAAAGGAAAAGAAGGTAATGATGATAGATCAGCCCACACAATATGACTGCCTAAGCCTTGTGTGCCCAGGTTAAAGCAGATTAAAACCCACTTTTTTTGGAGCTTCAACTTCTTTTTGTCACCTGTATCTGAATAAACTCATTCATAAACTGGGGAGGAAAAAAAAAGCAGAAGAGACATCCTAAAATAATCCAAAGACCAGGAAGCTAAACTTGGACACTAAAATCTACCATCAAAAACAAAGGCTGAGAAAAGTTTCTGAAAACCTGTATCTGGCATGTAAGTGTCCTAGAGCACTCTTTGCCTCTATCATTTTGCATTTGGTTTAAGAAGAATCTTGCCCAGGTACAATGGCAGTATGTGATATTCCTGCTTGCAACAGCTACTGGTGAAGCTCCATAAACTAAGTTGTCATCATCTAGCTCAAAGAGAAGCAGAGATAGAAGAGAATTCAGTAATCACTTTTTCTTACAGAGGGAGGAACTAAAGCGCATCTGAAAAAAATGATCAGCTCAAAATAAACATGTTTTTTCATGGAACATGACTTGACTGCAGAATTACCCCCCTTACCAAATTTTGAAGAGTAAGAACACTCAAAAAAGATGAGTTGCATTCCTAAAAGAGAAATCCAACATGAATTATACAAACCAACTTGTTTAGAAATCCCTGAACCACTTTCAGAAAATAGAAGAGTACATGAAGGGAAATATGTCACTTACCACACTTAATATCTCACTCAAAATATATGCTGCTCACTAGATGCTATTAAACATAGAATGAAAAACTTAAGATCTAATTTAGTTGAATAAAATTATGTTTTTCCATATTTCCACAGGTAAGTGGAGTTTTTGTTGTTTTATTTGCTTTTATGTCAACGTAAAACCCTGTAATTTATTATAAGTACTTCTAGAGCTAAGAGGGGTGGGAGAGAAGAGGGCCATGCAACATCTACCAAAGACATACTGGGATATCCACACCAAAGGATACATGACAGTAAAGAAGAAAAGGGGCAGGAAAGCTATGGAAGATCAACAACAATTCACAGAGATCACAGTTATGTGAAGGCAGCTGACAAACCAGTGAAGATGAAGACAGAGTACTCATTCTGAGATGAGTTTCAGTAGGTCATTATGAAGACTAGCACAGGCAGTTTCAGTTAGGCATGAGGAAAATGTCTGAAGAATTCCAGCCACAGGTTGTAAAATAGTACTACATAAATTGTACCCAGAGATGAAAGTGAGAAGAGAAAGTATTTTAACATGTAAATGTTATCATAGCTAGGACTTCAGATTTTTTATGATGGGAAAAGTTGGAGCAGGTTTGTGCCTTGCTGGGAAGAGGCAAAGTTTACTCACGTCTTCTCTTGAGAACTCTAGCTTTATTCTTGGCTGAATAAAACAGTGGCTTTTCACACCTCCACAGATACCTACTCACAAGAAACATTAGAACTGTCAGGAAAGAGAAAGCTGGACCAAACATGTAAAATAATAGTAATTTCTTACAAATATTGCTAGACATATTACAATAACATCAAAATAATGTAATCATTAGTGCTATTAGAAGCATCTGGCTCTCCAAAACATCTATGGAGCCTTTTTTCAGAATAGACAAACAAAGGCATATAAGCCTAGATTTACTGTAATCAGTTAATTATTTAGCTGTATAAGCTACTTGTCACAGAAAGTGAGCATTTAATTAATAGGCTGGGTAAATATTACAAGTGTAAATAGAAAATTAAGATAGGGATTTAATCACTCTGTTCACCCAAAGTTGCTGGATGAGAATGTGGAGCAAATTTCAAACCTTTTTAATGTCTGTGGGGGTCAGGATTTCATGTAAAGCTGTCTACTTTAAAAAAGAAAAAGTACTTAAAAACCTCTTACTTGGCTCTTTCTTCATCCAATTTCTTTTGCTCCACATCCAAGGAACATTTTATAACCTTGTACCACTTTTTGAACTCAAAATACGGACCTCCTGAATAACAAATACACATTTTATGTTGGGAAGAAGTGAAAGGAATGTGTAGTACACAAAAGGTGGTCTCAACACAGTTAGACCCTGTGTCTTCCACCTGTAACGAAATCTACTCTGAATGATGTGTGCTTAAAGAAAACATACTTAATCTAACAATTCTTTAAGAAAGAGAAATACAGTGAAAGAACAGGGCATCGTAAGAAGCGCAAAGAAGCCCCTTAGCTTGGAATAGATTTCATAGATTTAGCACAATTCAAAACTTTTCTCTTCTGTCTGAAAGTTAAGTCTGAAATTTTCCCTCCTCTACCAAATGAACTAGATCATCACAGTTTCACCTGTCTGAAAGCTGACTTCATGGGATTCACGGAATTATACAGCAAGCTTAGGTTTAAGCAAGCAAACCCATATGTGAAATTTCAAACAATTCCAACTCCGCACTATCCTACCACCCATCAAACCTTACAGGGTTGGAAAGACAGACAATTGTGTTCACTTCATATCAGCCTCCCATGTTTTTCAGCACAGGAACTTCACTCACAGATACATGAACAAAAATTTATCAGCACATGCAAAAACATGAAGGCATATGGGCATTCCAGCAGCACATTTATGGTCCACGCTTCAAAGAGGCACAGGACTGAAGGAGACCAACTGGGTACATACAGTAAGTATAACAATTTCAAACAGAACTACACTTTAGATTTATATATTTAAAATATAATCAACTCTTATTACCTCTGGGTGTATTATCTGCATTTGGAATTAACCAGGCTTTGCATTTCCCTTCACCCCAGCTGCACTGCATGCAATGCTTGCATCATGCTTAGTTTTGCCAGCTAGCTGCTTAAAACTGTTTTGAAGGTGAATGTACTGCTCTTATAATCAAGCTTATATATCTTTTGTATTATCTGCATTTTTGCTATTCAAGTTATCCCACCACAGGATATGTGAGATGCTAGAAATATGGATGCACTTAAAGTAGTTCTACCTTGAGTAGTTCTTAAAATTGAAAGGTGTGGATACAACTGCTTTTATGAACTCCTTAAACCCAGAGGTTTAAGTAAGTACCCCTGAAGTGCTGGGAGGGAAGAGGCAGAAATTTTTATTAAACTTCCTATGAATGATTAAGCACCTGTCACAAGTAAAACTACTGCCAGAGACATCATGCTACACTGTAATAACTGTTTACCTGGCCAGTACTGCTAGTCTGATGTTCATATAGCTGATCTGACTGGAAAATATGCAGCTCAGTGATACACATACATATATACATCTCAATCATATGTTCTATTTGAACATAAACAGTATTGTGTATGTGTGCAGCTCATCGAACATACACAAATACACCAGGTAACTACATCTACCTAGCTGTAGACTTCCAGTCTGTCTTGAACAACTATAGAAGCTGAAATATTTTTTAATTTAAAAAAAAGGAAAAAAAGACTAGAGAAAGGATGGTGAAGTTGAGAATGGAGGCAACATAAACTGTATCTTTAAAATTCAGTATTAACCATTATTCATTTCAGCATGCTAGCTTTGAGAAAATGCCAGAGGCAGTTTTGAGCTCTGGCATTAATCAGTGCTCTAACAGAAATTCTCACATGAGCTCCTCTGCACAACTGCTCACTGTCACTGCAACATTTTAAGGACAGGGACATCACAGAGCACATAGATCACTGCACTGGTGGATTTTAAAATAAAAATGTGGGCGAAGAATGAGCTGTTAATTCGCAAGAGCAATGAGACTTGTTAAGTGAGAAACCTCATTCAGACAGACAGACAGACATTCATGGCTCTGAGCCTCAGCTTGTAAGCAGTTGCACAACTTCTATTCTTGTCACTATTATGTACTTCAAGTTTTCAAGAGAAATGCAAAAGAATAAAAATAAGATCCAAAATGATCACAGAATGGCTTGGGTTGGAAAGAACCTTAAAGATCATCTAGTTCCAACCCCTCTGCCATAGGCAGGGACACTTCCCACTAGACCAGGTTGCTCCAAGCTCCATCCAACCTGACCTTAAACAATTCCAAGGACAGAGCAGCCACAATTTCTCTGGGCAACCTGTGCCACCATCTCACCACCCTCACTGGAAATAATTTCTTCCTGATATCTAATCTAAATCTCCCCTCTGAAAGAGTTTTGAAATGATTTGAAACCATTACCCTTTGTCCTATCACTCCATGGCCTTGCAAAAAGTCCCTCTCCAGATTTCCTGTAGCCCCTCCAGGTACTGGAAGGCCACTATAAGATCAAAGCGCTACAAAATCCAGCAGACACTAGCTGGCTGCACATTGTAAACCCTGACCATTGAGCAGCATCTAAGCATCATTCGTTTTCCCTGTAGACCTCTAATGCAGATGACTTCTCAACGTGGAGAGCCCCATGTGACTTGTGACATCTTTTGTAGTGTAAGCTCAAATACTAATTAAGTGAAGGGAATGGGGAAAACCAGCTGCCTTCCTGAAAAGAGACCCTCCTTACAAATCCTGAGTTAAGAGGAGGAGCAGGAAGATGCCAACAGCTGTATAAAATCACTGTAACAAAAAAAAGGAAAAAGAAAAAAGAAAAAAAAAAAGAAGAGAGGAGAGGGAGAGGGAGAGGGAGAGGGAGAGGAGAGAAAAAGAAAACTTTCCAGTAAGCAGATAGCTGTATGCTTCCTGCAGCAGGGAAAGGTTAGTTCCAGTCTCATCTCCCAGCTGGCTCCACAAGGACAGAGGTTAAATATGAAACTGCAACATACACATCTCAACACTGCTCAGATCTCTGCCTAACGGTCATCCTCCTGGAGTCTGCCCCAGTTAAACCTCTTCCCCATTTGGTGATGAGAATCCACTTTCCATCATGCTTTCTTGGAGTTAAAAAAAAAGCATTATTAAATATGAATGCTTAAGAGGTTGTGTCTCCACTTGAGACGTCTGGTCTCCTACCTTAGAAGATAAGTGTTGCAAAGAGAGATCCCTTGGGGGCTACTAGCCAAACAAACCACTGAAAATAACTGGAAGCTGAAGAATACCCAGAGGTGGGTATTACATGTTTGTAATTACAAGTTTGTGTATCCACTTGAAAATGAGAATTACTGGTTTTAGTTAACCGTGATGACTATCTCTAGATACAGCAGTTAACTGTACTCATGCATGGCTAACACCAATTATTCACTTAAGTTTTTATAAAGTAATAGAGGGGTCAAAATGGACTCCAAACTGGATAGAAGGCTTAGAAGATTAACATCTGTAACACACATTTGATCTTATCTTGAACTGGGATCTAAACCAGGCCATGGAACATCTTCCTGACGACTTCTAATCTTTGATTTGGTCGTTCTGCCCTCAAAGAACCATGTTCACACCATTATCTTCTCCATCTTAATTGCTGCTAGCTTTTCCACACTCTCTCAGGATTATTTGGACTGAGAAATTAGATTACATCTGAAATATGTTACACACTAAGACATTTTATCTAACAAGACTAAACAAGTTCGGATTTTATCATAAATGTGGTTTGATGCCCCTAATAAGTATCTGCTATTTACGATCAAAGTGCATTCCCTCTTTACTGTGCACCCACTCATCTTCACCTACCATGCATAGAATTCTAAAACAAGAGGCAAACGTGCACAGGGAAAAAGCAGAAAGGTACCCAGCAAAATGGGTACAAAATTCCCCTCCCCACTACAATAACAATTATGCAGGTAAACTGAGACAACTTTTTGTGAACAGGATCTACTGTTTTCTTTGAATATAAATTTGCCCTAAAGGAATAAATGACAAAAACATATTTTAATGCTCATTAAGACAAATCTTTCTAAGCCTTATTACAAAGTTATTTCGTTTACAAAATCCGTAAACCTGCTTCTACTGGAATATTTACGTACCTTCTTTGTTATTTTTATTTTGTTCCTTGGCAAAGTTTGACAGTAACCTGAAAAAAGTAAACTTATTTTGCAGATTCAAATACTACACTTTTCACACAAAGTTCAAATACGACTGACAAAAATGAAACCAAATTTTCATTCCAAGTTTCAGATTCAAACTGACATTTTTTTAAATAAGTAACATTTAATGTCTAACATGCCCTCAAGTCTATATGTTCCGTACTACTAAACTTAGTCAAAATTCAAGTACTGCAGATTTACTATCACTAAAGAAAGAATGATCCAAGGCAATAATTTGCAGTATTTGAAATTTAGGCTTTGCTACTGATTTGCCTGTACACTTACCATTCATAGTGGTCATCTAACAAAAACAGTAATTTGAGCACTACTACAATAACTGCTACAGCAAGAACATCATATTTCACTTTTCTTGTTGACTTATTTCCAGGCACAAGAGTCAGGAAATCCGCTTCTCCAATAGAGGTCTTTTTCACCACCCGACGAGTCCAATTATGCAATTCATCTGATTAATGTAAACAAAAATATCTAATGAGTATGTTCAGACAAGCTAGAATTACTTTTACAGTGCAAATATGTTGGTCATTCAAAGAAAACAATTATTATTTCTTTTAGGACCACTAGACAGCAATTTTTTTGAGGCTGAAAAGTATTTTTTTGGTATTTTAGACAATCTTCACTGTGCTTACATGGAAAACGGTTATGATTTATTATATATTCACATGGAAAAAAAATAAATAATATTTAAAACAGTGTTTTGATGTTACTTGAATGATGCTGTCAGACCATCCTGAACACCATTGTGGGAAAGCATATCTGAAATCTACAGAAATATATTTCCAAAAGACCCCAAAAGCCAAAAACTTGTCACAAACGTGTTTCCTGCATGTTGACTAAATACACAGTTGAGGCTGGATTCAGCACTGCAAAGAGGAACTGGGCTAATTTTGAAGAAGCTGGTTGGGTATGAGCAGCAGCCCAGCATGGCCGGGCAGTGGTGGCTGCTGAGGCACAGCCAGTCCCAGCCGAGGTTACCACGGGCACTGCCCTGTTGTGTCAAAAAGATACAGCTACAGCTCCAAAAGCAGCAGTTGGATATCTATACAGTCTCTTCTTACTCTATGCTTATTTTTCACAGATACAAATCCTCCAAATTTCTCACCTTTCCTGTTCAGCAAGAAAGACAGGGCTTGATTACATCACCACCAGATTCCACAAAGGTTAGCAATGTATGACTAAGTGCAATCTTAACCCAGCTATACTTCGTAGTCTCTTGCTGCTTACAAAGAGCTCAGTAGGAACTCTGTTTTAGTCCTCTTGTACACAACAGTAAAAGTTAAACAAAATCTGGAAACCAATTTTTCTTATAAATACTGTCAGTATATTTCCCATTATTTCACATACTTAAAATGACCTTTTAATTAGTATTTAGTGTCCTAAGAAATACTGCCAATTCACTGCTTCATTGTTTTTTTAAGAGTTGTTAGACAACAACAGTAATCCTTTTGCAATTCATTAAAAAAATGCTTCTACATGATAGAAAGCTTCGTTGCAAGGAAAAAGTAAAGGATGGTATTTTCTTCTTTTACAGTGATTTTCAAAGAGGACTTAGCTTTTTATTTCTCTGTAATAAAATGGAAAAAGCTGAATTTCTAGCTTTTTCTCTGATGTAAATGATACTTCAAAATCTGAAAAAGAATGTGATCCTCTGTAGGATCACAACATTGTTGTAAAACTAAAAAATCAGAACTTCTACTCTGAAATTTTAGCACGAAGTCTGTTAGTTATCTTCTCTTCATTCAACTATGAGTAAACAGAAAAGCCAAGTAGCTTTAGTCAATGTAACTAATCACAAAATAAGCTAATAAAACCCCCCAAACTATTATTTTTTTGAATACTTTGAGGAAAAAACCCCTATATATATATATATATACAGGCTATTTGTATAACTCATCTTCAGTGATAGATAGAAAGTATGGTAGCTCAACAGTTCACATACTAGGACTAAGGTCTTTCTTCGAAAATTCAATATTCAAGACTTAATTTTAGGACAAACAAAAACATGCAATATTTATGCAATATATGATTTAAAAAGTAAATTGGGAATCAAGTGAGAAAGCAGCTGATTTGTTAAACAGCATTGCTTGTTAATATTAAAATTAATGCTAATAAGCAATAACACAGACTACGAGTCAATATTATGCATGCGACAACTCCAGTGCTAAGCAGTCAGGTCCCACCTTCATGAATCATTTAGCTAAAGTTAATAAACCACGTAAATTCAACTAAAGCCTCTTAGTTCACAGGGATACTGAAAAATCTGAAATGAAGTATCCACTCCACAGCCTTAGAGAGCCAACATCACAGTGCCCCTGCATATCTGGGCCTATAATACATACTCTAAATGTTTGATGAAGGTGCTTTCTATAGAAATTATCTTTCAGGTTAAGCTTAAAAGGGTATAAATTAGAAGGAAAAGACTAGGCACTTTTAAAGTAGTAACACAAGTTTTTTGCTGGAGTTTAATAAATTTTATCAGTTTGGGTTTGGGAAAATATTTACCAGGTAAATTAGCTTCCATCAAGTACTTCATGCACAACATGTCTGGATGAAGAAAGCAGCTGTCTGTTATATCTGGAAAACGAGGCAGGTCTAAAAATGCTGCAAGCTCAAGCATTTTGTTGTAGACTTCTTCATATCCAGGCCATGACTGAAAGACAGTTAGAGGGTGTTATACATTTGCTCCATTACCGTATTTGTTAATTATTTAAAATAAGTTATCAAAGTTAAGTGCTGTATTATTTATGACTAAACACACATGCAAGAGAAACATGCTAGTTTTAAAGCCCATGAAGTATGTAAGGAACAAAGAGAAAGTTGCTTCAGACCTGCAATCAACCCACTACCTTTCACTACTTTTCTTGCAAAGTGTGTCTGCAGATGGTTCAAAATTCATAGAGTCAGAATGGTTCGGGTTGGAAGGGATATGAAGATAATCTAGATCAGAGAATCATTTTGTGATTCTATGACCTAGTTCTACCTCCCCTGTCATGGGCAGGGACACCTCCCGCTTGGCTGGGTTCCAATATGGAATCGCTGCAGGGACATTGAAACCAGATGATCTTTCAGGTCCTTTCACATCCAAATCATTCTGTGACTCTATGATCTTCATGGCCTTTACTGGACTCACTCCACTATGTCCCTATGTCCTTTGTACTGGTAAGCCCAGAACTGGGCCCAGCACTCCAGATGTGTCTCACCAGTGATGAGGAGAGATGACAGATCATCTTCCTTGATATGGTGGAAATGCTCTGCCTAATGCAGCCCAGGATGTTGTTGGTAGTCTGTGCCACAAGGGCACATTGCTGGCTCACATTCATCTTCTCAGCATCTTGTCCATCTGAACTCCCAGAGCCTTTTCTGAAAAACTGGTTTCTAGCTGGTCAGCCCCCCAGCATGTGCTGGTGCCTGCAATTATTCCACAATACATATTTACGTATGTATTTATCATCTTTATCAACACGAATGTGATCAATACGAGGCTGACAGGCCTTTAGCTCCCCAGATCCTCCTTCTTGACCTCCTTGAATTTGCTTTCTGCTAGTCCTCAAAAAACACCTCCAGTCACCATGAGTTTCCAAAAATTATTGACAGCAGCCTTGTGATGACACCAGCCAGTTCCCTCAGCACTTGTGGCAGCATCTCATCGCAGCCCAGGAACCTTCATAAGTCCAGTTTGTTTATATATTCCATAACCTGTTCCTTCTCCACCAAGGTTAAGACTACCTTCCCCTAGACTTTCCCACTGATTTCAAGGACTTGGGATTGCTGAAAGCCACTCTTAGCAGCAAAGATCGAGGCAAAAAAAAGCATTCATCACCTTAGCCTTCTCCTTGGTCTTTGTGACCATGTCCCTGTTCTCATTCAGCAGCATGTTCTCTAGAACCTTTCCAAAGAATCTTTAATATAATTTACTTTAAAAAATAATAATCTCCACATTTTCATATTTATTAATGAAAATACATCTGCAATTCTCTTTTCAAAACTACTGACTGCATGAAGAAAGTTTTCTCAATTTCTACTGAGGATTTCCTCTTAGAAGAGACTATGACTTATAGATTTTGACAGGTTCATTCATAATGAACTTGGCAGGACTGAAAGATTTGACCCTCATTTCTTACCACCTGAACTGTTTTATTAAACATTCTTAATTGTCTGTATTTTTATGATTACTTGAATCTACATCTTAAACTGATAACTTTCAGTTGTTCAGGCTCCTTTACCATTTTAAACATATAAATAGCAATGCTTTTTCTGCTTTGGTTGGTAGTTCTAGCTCAGCAGAGCACTTTATCATGTATTCATATTTTATCAAGTCAATTTGTGCATATGGTACTTTCCTTTAATAGGAATCTAGCAGGGCCTTACACTTTGTGCACAGGTTCAAAACTTTCTTGAACAGTGAATTCAGGCTTCTTGTTGTTCACAGAACGGATTAAAAACAGAGCAATCATGTTTACAACAATAAGACCGAAACAATGTGTTTTTATTTAATAATTTGGTTAGATCTATTTTAATATAAGCTATGTAGCCAATGCTCAAATCTTACTGTCTTGACTGATTGCCAACATCTCCTTTTTGTGTTTTTTTTTAATTCTCTCCCCTCAGTCTGCAGTTCAGACTTGCTTAACTGTGTGAACGCATGCTTAAGCAAATGAACAGTTCTGCTGTCGATTACTATTACACATGCAACTTTTTCTAACAGTTAGGAAGTTGTATCATGTTCATGATATCTTCTAAGCAGTGTTAAAAACTGGCTTAGACTGCTACAGGACTATCTTGAAAAACAAGAAAAACACGCATTACCAGACTTCCACAGAAGACTAGGTACTTCCTATTCCTCTTAAGAAACAGTGCTAAATTGAACACTGAAACGATCTTGGAATAAAACCTGAATCATCCACAACTTCTCTCAAGTGGATTTGGAAAATACTGAAGTCCCAGATAACACAAAGAAAAACATTACATAAACACTATTCCTTATTAGATATAAAGGAAATATGTTTTTCCCTTTAATGAAAAGCAGTTGAATTAGTAGTTTCTTACTCATCTATCACAAATGAAAATAAATTAAGACACTGGGAATTTAGTCATTTGAAGCATTCTCAAATATTCAACTACCACCAGTGAAGTTATCTTAACAGTCAAATTTAGCACAGAGGTACTTTAAGGAATATACCTCCTAATTGGAGGACTCAAGGCAGACACCTATATCACCTTATACCTGAGCTTCTCTCACAGTATCAGGGTAAGAAGACAGGTTTCCTATCCTAGGTACTACTGAATCATCCCTTCCTCCTCATGCCTGACACTGACTTTTGTTTCAAAGCTTTTGTTTTCAATTTAGAGAAGACAATTTGGTGTTTTTTTTTCAAAATGGCTAGAGAATGCTCTGCAATTAAAACTGATGCTTTTTTTTTTTTTTTAAGAGCAAAGACAAGTGATGCAAAAGTTACAAATAAAAATTAACACTGAGAGCTATCACTTAGCTTAGTTTTAAAAGAGTGCTAACAGGCAAAAGCTGTTCTTAGTCGATGTGTGTTCATAAAGAGATGTAAACACAACTGGGACACGTAGATCTAAAAAAGGCATACTAATCCACCAAATCAATTGCTACTTCCCAGGGCTTAACCCCCTAAGCTCAAAAACATTCTCTCTAATACTCATGTTTCTACAACACAGTGCTGAGTCATGAGGATGCAAGTTGAACTGAATGCCTCGCTTCCAGGAGTACGTTGTAATCTCTGGAAGCATAAACTGCAAGCATAAGCTGGATCCAACACAAGATCATGTCTCAGTAGATACATCATAGCAAAGGGCTGAAGGCTGAAAGGTTGAGAACTGAGGAGACTGTAGAGCATTTCAGTAATTTTCACTAGTCACTACATACCCTGTTCATACTGTTTAATTCTGAAAGGGCTGTTAGTTCATACAGCAAATCTCTTATTCTGCAAAGTTTCATATATCCTGGGAGGGTTAAAACAGAAAGAACACCCTAATTCCACGCAACCAACATAGCAAATCTTAGGAAAATATTAAGAAAAAAGAAGACAGAGCAAACAAGCAGCCTCAGAATTAATAAAAGGTATCACCTTCTACCTAGCTACATATCTCTGCCAGAAGAAAAAAGCCTGATAAAACAAGTTGCACTGAAGAGTCAACCAGCAAATCAACTAGGAAAGCAAGATCTAGAGCTGGGGCCTCTCTCCTTCAGGTGAAAAAACTCTCCAGCACCCCATGATCAAACCCCAAGGGAGGAGTTCTTGGACAAGTGGGGGAAGCGTGAAATCATACACCACATGCTCCCCAAGTATAACTTTCCCTTAACCAATCATAAATAAAAAACCCCCCTACATTACGTATTTTCAAGTTGTATTTCTGTGCTAAGCATTAGGACAACTCCCCTGTCCATCAGCATGTGGATTTACTGAGCTCTCACCTTGTTTTGAGAACCTGGGAAACACTCTACATATTAAAACTCAGTTAGAAACCCCTGAGGACACTTTGTAATTTCAGGAAGACTGACAGAAAACTCTTCTAAAGTTATGCCACCTGCTAGCCTTTTCAGGTGTTTCGCAAGCTAGCATTTCTTCAGGATTAATCAACAACACTGACAGAATCTGGAACTTGTCTAGATTGGGTACAGAGGTTACCAAGAACTTTTCTACACTGTTTTGTCTTTTAAGTCTTTGTATTTTATTACCACATGTGGCAAGTAACTTTAGTTCTTCTCTAGAAAGCAGAAGGAAAGGTGAGTACTACTTGAGAACATTTTTTTCTTTTATTTTTCCCCCTGTATTCAACTGAGCATAAGAGAACAAAATACACACTGTTGAGTTGGTGAAGAAGTGTCTAGAAGAAGATTTTAACTATTATCAATATTCATTAAACTATGTAAATTGGTTGCCTTTATCTTTCAAAGCTACATGAAATTTTTCAGCTGTATTAGAAAAGAACAAGCTGATTTTCACAGAAGTAGATGAGCCAAACTATATTAGCATGATAATCAGATCACAGTAACTGGTAATTGTTTTGGGTAAGCCAAGATTGCAGCCTCTCCTGCTTGTTTGGACAATATCAGAATGTTGCTGATCAACAAGTAGAAAACAGCATGCACTGGCTGGCTTTCTAGATTCATTTGCAGGCTCCACTGCTTCTTGTTTTAAATGTGGTCTGACTGACTCTCTTCTTAGATGACTGTATAGGCTGTTTCCTTCTCCTGTATCAGGACCATATCCCAGCAGTCATCACTTACATATGCACAATTCAGTTTATTTTATTGTGAGAATGTTCTATTGTTTCTGAAAAGCATTATCGAGTTGTTTTGAATTATCCCCTCCATATTATTCCACTTCCATCCTTCTTTCCTGTTCAGTCGTGTTTTTTGCAGCACAGTTCCCTTCTCCATCATTCTTCCACCTGTCAGTTTCCATCCCAGAAGCTCTTTCTTCCCTCGCCTGGACATTCGCTAAGGCTTTTCCTTCACCTGTGCTGCTCACGTACAGCAGTGGGCACCTTTCCTAAGTGATTCTTTTAATGACCACTTAATACTGGAGACCTCACATTTTCATTATTGGCTTTTTGTAGGTGTCTGGAAATGGCTGACATCTAGAGTTTAGATATGCTTGGAATTATCTAAAAACAAAAATA